CAGCCTCTGCAACTCAGAAATTATATGAAAGAGTTAGGACAAAGTTAGAAGACCTGCAACAGCTTTTACCAGCTGAGAAGCTGTTGTTGTCCTAGGTAAGAGTTTTCTAAAACCTTGTGGTAAGCTACGAGCAGCTGGCATCAACACCCCTCACGAGCAAAGCCGCAGTTATAAACGCAAAACACATTGCAGCTTTGTTAAGCTTGAAAAAGAAAAAAAGTTACTTTCAAGAAGCATCCAAGTTTCATGAGCTCAGTAAAAGAAGTCTCTTGGAAACTTTTCTGAGGAAAAAAAGCTGGTTTTTCCTCTGCAGTGAATAGAAACCCTGAACTTTTGCTAATGGTCAACAGGAGTCATTTTTCACTTTGTTTGCTTGTTTCTGTATTGAATGAGCAGTCATATGTAAGGAGTAGCAAGCAGGTATCATGGATCATAGGGCTGCTAATAAATGGCAGGAGTCATACAAGCTTAGAAAGAAAGGAAAAGAGGAAAGAGTTTACATTAATTTTTTAGCCTAAAGGGAACTTTTATATATAGAAAATAAAGACATTCTGACTTCTGATTTATGCTGGAATAAGATGAGAGGAAACCTCTGGCCTGCCTCCAGATGAATTACCCGTAGAGCGTTCCATGCAGCCGTGCACTCTGGTGCAGACAAGAGACTAGAAATGACCGTACTGTGGTGATACGAGTGCCCTGCTCCTCTATCAGCGCTGTCATCGGCAACACGCTCTTAACCTGCTGCAGATGTGAAGTCTGCTCGCTCGATCCATAGGGTGGATAAAAACAACTCTTTCCTTAACATCAATATCGCTGCTTTCCATAAGCTGAACTAGATCAGAGATCCTTAGGCTACCTACAAGGAAAGGAGAAGAGCTTACAAACAGCCCTGTGAGTGCTCGCCCTGCCCTTCGGTCAGGCCAGCAGCCCACGCACCAAGTGCTCACCACTGACCTCCTGCCAGAGCCAAACTGCTCACTTATCACCCATTTCTCCTGATGGATGATGGAAGGCAGCAACTCTCACTCTTAATGGAGTTTTTCCTATTTATCCAGGTGATAACTTCATTATTTCAGCTATCCCTCATTAGCAATTAACAGCTACCTTTGCTGTAATATGTAACTGCCTTCTGCAATGTCTGTATTCCCCCCCCCCCCCGCTGCCTTGTTTTTCTCGTGTTCCCCCCCCCCCCCGCTGATTAGTTGCACCTAATTTGGTCAAGATGTTTGTTAAATCACTAAGCCCTGTGAGAAGGTATGTGTATAGGAACTGGACCATGAGAGAATCAGCTTTAATTCCTGATGCAATGTTAACACATGGTATTAATAAGAGGCTGTTTCTCTTCTCTATCGTGCTATCAGTTTTAAATAGTTGAGTCCTAATCTCCCAATCAATCATCTTCAAAATCAGTATGCTTTAATCATCAATCCATTTTTACGGGGAAGCGGGAAGTACTATTTAACAAGGAGGCAGCAATTTTTAAACCTCTGTTTCTCTTTGGCTGCCTGAATTAAAGAAAAATTACAGTTCCTGCAGACGGCATCACAACAGAGTTATATTGTAGAGTTCTGCTCTTTCTGGGGAAAGGCCCCATGTCTAGGAAGTCAGCTAAATGCAAGATTGAAGATCTACTGAAGGACCAACTCTGGACAAATGTAACCTTGATTCCTTGATTGAGCGTACCCAGCTTTGGGCTTTACCCCTGAAGCATCAATGAATGCTGACCAGTGACCATAGGAACACAGGACCTCAAACACCGGTTTCTAAAACGAAACTACATTAGTAATGCTAATTATGAAATATGGCCTATTTTCATGTTTTTCAAATTAATATAGCACAGAAATACTCCAAAGATATTTGAATTTCTGAGCAAATATAAAGCTGTTGAACTTTAAGGAGGAGAGTTTCAAAGGCACAAATGGCACTTAACTTCCAATTATGCCTTGGAAAGTGTCCCGCTAATGGCTAATATAGCTGATTTATTTTCATAAACTTTAATTACTTTGCACTTTTTTTTACT